CTTTATATATTTCGACACACATACCCCTTAAAGTCTTACAGCATCGCTCTGTGCAGTCAGCTGATTACAAAAACAATGTGTTTATATGTACGGATTCACATTCATACGTTGTAAGGTATAATCATATATGATCAAAACGATTCAGCCTGCATATTCTTATACATAGAAATAAGCTAAACCCTGAAATAAAATATATCAATAATTATATATTTTAAATGTGTCATCAGCGTGAGAAACTTGATAATTTACTAGACTTTCTGAATATCATTAATGATATTCTATATGTTATTGTTATTATATTAATTGATACGTCTACGAGTAAAAATAAAGAATATAAATTTGGCGAATCGTTATTTGGCCAAATGTTAAAATAAAACTTGTTCATATGAATTATTTCATACGTTAAATAAAAAATAATATATTAATTTAAAAATATATTGTAGTATTGAAATTTTAAGTAATAAAATAAAGTTTTTCATTGAGAAAAATTATAAGGTTTTTGAGAAATATTTCTATACAAAAGATAGTGAGAAGCGACATTTGTACATTTATGATACACAATAAATAATTTTTAATAACGTACGTTTTTATCGATAATGTTCACTGGTACAAAATTCATGTGAATTTTTTGATCGAGCAAAGACTAGACTTTCGATGGAATAAAAGGTGAACTTATAGAACGTTAATTTGTCTATCCACACGTACTCGTCCTATATTACGCAGTACCAGGCTATTGGCCGTTCATGTGATTCGAATACAAGTGCCCAACGTAATATATGAAATACAGTAGTGTGTAACTCGTCTACTTCATGCGCATACACACTCGTGGACATGATGTATATATCGTATCGTCATCATGAGAGAAGTGAAGTGAGGTAGAGGCCACCCACTCTTTCCCACAGCAGGTTTTTCCCACGCCCCCCAGGGTAACCCCAACATCCTTTTGCGGCAGCAATTCCACGGCACCTACGGAGTAGAGGGGAGCAGCTCACGTCAGGTGGGGAATAAGAGGGGAAACTGGAGGCGCTTGGGTCGACCAGGCCATTGTACAACAGTAAAACAATAGAATCAGCAGCTCAGTAACGTAACTATTCGAACCTCTAAAAGTTGTTACATTTTCATTCCAATTTTGCAAGTTATTAACACGTACGATCATTGTCAATATTACTTAGATGAATTAAAAATTATACAATTATATTCTTATTCGAAGCGCCGAAAGCATAATTTCATAAAATACTTCCATCTATTCAAAAATAATTATATATCTGATTATCTTTTTTTTTTGTTTTTCAGTTTCTCTTTGTCTTGTCTTGAAAATTTATATTTTATACCCACTATTTGACGAAAGAAGAAGGAAATAATTTAGATATTTAAGGAAATAATTATTGGTTTTATACGAAGGAGTTTATGGATCCCTTTACAAATACGCTCCTGTTATAGCCACTTACGCGGGTAGTAATAACTCTACGTTGTCGTTTCGAACTTAGTTACTCGGCGGACACCGTCGGAGTGGGTTGTGTGTTTTTTGATATTGGTGTCGTGATAACTGTTTGTTATTCGTTGTTAGCTCCGAAGTGACAAGAAAAAATTTTCAGGCGAAATGCCTGAAAATAAGCAGAAACCAAAGAGCATATATTAGTTTCAAATAGTGTTTCGAAACGGCATGTTTGTATTTCGGATTTAAAGTGGCGCGCGCGCGCGACTGAATCATTTCCAAAGGTTGGTAAGACTGTTCGGAAAATTCGGAAAGTGAACAGGTGTTTTTTGAATGGATTAGGGAGAATAGGTGACGAGGACGCAAAAGGATTTGCGAATGGTGAAGAATCGAGGAACAGTGTGACATTTGTGAATAACTATTAATTTGAGAAAATGCATTGGGATTTATGTTTCAAGTCAAGTTATTGTAAAAAATGAGGTAAGCATCAAAAACGTAACCTGTTTTCGTTCGGTGTAACCTTTGCGTCAGAAATGTAAATAAACGGTTTTTAATAGTTTAATAATTTTTTATTAAAAGAATTGTGTTTGCCTCTTATCAGCAGTACACTTATCAGTCTACTTATAAAATTAAAAGAATCTGCAATAGACAATCACAGTGTTCAATTTTTGTCATTAAAGTATTAGAAAGTGTAAATTTCAAATTCTCAGAAATTAATATTTAGCAAAGAAATCCTTTCTTTTTTACAAAATTACTTATATGTAATGTAACTTTATATCTATAAAACTTATACCATGCATGCAATTTAATCAATTTGTTACTTATGTAATAATATAAATTCTTTTATTACAGTGTATTCGTAATGCACAAAGTTTAGCACGTTGATTTCACACAGAAGGATGTTTTGTAATTCTATTCATGATGCATTTAATTAAGAGTGACAAGTATATCTAACTTGTGTCATTGTACAAGTATAACTAACTTGTGTCATTGCAAGTTTTATTAGGAAGAACAAGCTTTTAATTTTTTCTAAAATACTATTTTGATAATCTTTGTTTATAAAACATGTAGAAACATATAACATAATTTTCTAATACTGAGCATGATATTTGAAAAATTAAGGTTTAAAGAAGTCATTTTAACATGTATAAAATTAATCAGAGAATATCTTTATACTGCAAATACGTGGATATAATTGTATAGATACAACAAACAAGGGTGATTTAATTCATGCAGGAAAAATGAGCTCAGCTTGGTTCCCACAGTATATATGTACATTTCCTCTTTCCTGTACTAAGACTAGCAATTCTTAGTAGCTCGTTTAAAGAAAGATACCTTACGTTAATTATATCTTGCATTGTAAAAAAACAAAAATCTTTCCCACACTAAGGTCTCAAATGAACAGAGCCTATGCATCTATGCCTATTCAAAGATACTTAGTTAGAAAGAGAGTTTTTTTCTAAAAAATACAGTTTAGCATAATATATATATATATATATATATTATTTGGTATCTTGCTTTGGATTATTCTTTAGAATTATATATATATATATCCATATATATGGATTCTTGCAATAAAAAATTATGAGAGATGTTTATGCATTTTTTATTTCAATTTGTTTTAACAATAGATCATATCAATAGTTTTTTAGATCTTTGCTTAATAAAAGAATATTTGAAAAAGATAAGAACAAAGTGAAACAGCAAACGATACTGGCTTATAATTGGTCTTGATGGAATGTATTTCAGGTAAACAGGCAGAGGCAATTATGACATTCATAGATGACAAGGATAGTCTGCAAGCAACATAACAGCTCTGTTGTATAGTTGAGAGAATAGAAGCGAAGGTTAAATATGCCACACCAGTTTGGTTTGCCGACGATGGCGCATGGAATGCAATCACCTCCTTCGCCGACTTCGGTCATGTCGGTTTACCCTCGATTTGGATCCGGTGTCTATAGACCGGATCATCAAGATCAAAGGTTGACACGCGAAGCAATGGAACGTTATTTGCGCGATAGAAGCGACATGGTCATTGTAATTCTTCACGCAAAGGTTGCACAAAAGTCGTACGGTAACGAGAAACGATTCTTCTGCCCTCCACCGTGTATCTATTTGTTTGGCGATGGGTGGAGAATGCGGCAAGAGCAGATGCTTCGCGAGGGAGAGAGCGAGCAATCCGCTCAGCTTTGCGCGTTTATCGGGATCGGTAATTCCGATCAAGACATGCAACAATTGGACCTGAACAATGGTAAACAGTATTGCGCGGCAAAGACGCTTTATATTTCAGATTCGGATAAGAGGAAGCACTTCATGCTGTCGGTGAAAATGTTTTATGGCAGCGGACACGATATCGGTGTGTTTCATAGTAAAAGGATCAAAGTGATCTCGAAACCTTCGAAGAAGAAACAATCGTTGAAAAATGCCGATTTGTGTATAGCCAGCGGGACGAAAGTTGCGCTGTTCAATCGGTTGCGATCTCAGACAGTTAGCACGCGTTACCTTCACGTGGAGAACGGGAATTTCCATGCGAGTTCGACGCAATGGGGCGCGTTCACCATACACTTGCTGGACGATAATGAGAGCGAGTCGGAGGAGTTTCAGGTGCGAGATGGCTATGTACATTATGGCAGCACAGTGAAATTGGTATGCTCGGTAACGGGAATGGCGCTTCCACGTTTAGTAATTCGGAAAGTGGACAAGCAAATGGCTAGCTTAGAAGCGGACGATCCAGTTTCGCAGTTGCACAAATGCGCCTTCTACATGAAAGATACAGACCACATGTACCTGTGTTTGTCTCAAGAACGTATCATCCAATTTCAAGCTACTCCTTGTCCGAAGGAGGCGAACAAAGAGATGATAAACGATGGTGCCTGTTGGACAATAATCAGCACCGATAAGGCGGAATATCAATTCTTCGAAGGCATGGGCCCGGTTAGATCACCGGTAACACCGGTACCACTGGTCCACAGTTTGCACCTGAACGGTGGCGGCGACGTGGCAATGCTCGAGTTAACGGGAGATAATTTCACGCCTAATCTTCAGGTATGGTTCGGTGATGTTGAGGCGGAAACCATGTACAGATGTCAAGAGAGCATGCTTTGCGTGGTGCCAGATATATCACAATTTAGGGGTGAATGGCTCTGGGTACGTCAACCGACACAGGTGCCCGTCTCTTTGGTTCGCAACGATGGTATCATCTACGCGACTGGTCTAACGTTCACCTACACTCCAGAACCTGGTCCACGGCCTCACTGTCCCCCGGCGGATGAGATCATGAGAGCACCGCGCACCATGCATAATCAAGCAAGCATGCCACCCGCGATCGCCGACGTACCTTGGAACACCCATCAACCACCTCAGTCGGGCCTCTGATGTTTCCTAGAAAGTTACAGTGTGCATCACCAAAGTTTACGAGTTAGCGAGACGAACGCTGAGATTCTCGTACAATCTGCAAACGATATTTCCGTTGCCTCTATCGATAGCAACGAGCCAGTCAGTGAGGGTGCTAACTCCGCGACAACATACGCGGCGAAAGACCTGTTGCTGCGAATCGATAGCGTTGCAACGAGTCTAGACAATACGAAATCCAGCACGTAGCAACCGTGTCTCTCCGTTGCATTACGTTGCACTGCGTCGCATTACGTTGCGTTCTGTTGCGTTCTGTTACGTTGGATGTGTGTTGTACAGTGTGCCGTACCGAGAATCGTTTCTCTATGTTCATAAGTACGTAGGTACCTAGCTTTAAGTGTTGATACAGAATTACACACAGGGATTAGAATTTATAGCGATTTATAGGAATAAGAGCTTTTTACGAATGTGAATATATTTAGCTAATTAGTTGATAAAAACTAATGAATGGGAAGGGGTGGACAAACTCGAGGACTTGTTTCACTTGTTAAACGACGAAACGAAACGAAACGAAACGAAACGAAACGAAACGCGTGCTATGAAACCTGCTTGCGTTAGGCCTGCACGTGTAATTGCATATCGATCATTGGAAATGATTGTACATTTCTCGTCGACTACTGCTCGTTCATTTTTTCGAATGATCAGCCTTGTTATCGAGGAAATCTTGTTTGGTTTTAAATTGACCGTTGACACTACAAATATCGCGGTGCACGCGATACGTGACATGTATACATACATGCATACACGTGTGTATGGATAATATTTAGCGTGCTCTTGCTGCTAATTTTTTACATTTATAAAATCGTAGGACCGACCAGCTATTAAAAGCATCCGTCTTTATTTAGAAAAGAATGACAGATGACTTGCGAATATCGACCAAGATACGAGTTAAGTATGCGAGGCAAATGTTCAAACAATTATTCATTTTTCATCAATTGAAAATTTCCATCTATTATGTTCCTTCCTTTCTGTCACAATGTCTCGGATTATTTCAAATGTATTTAATTGTTTAAAGCGTATGCCAGTTTGTATACTACTATGCATCGATGCAAAAACCGATGAAACTTTATAATCATGCTTCTTTCATAGTACGTGCCGCAGCACGTAACAATTCAGACCGACTGTCATGTTAATAATTGCGAAGATTTTCTTTTTTTTTTTTTTTTTTTTCTTTTGTATAGAAATTATACCGATGAAAAGGATTAATAGTATCTTGTCGAAATGGCAATTCAATTATGATTGATTTTGTGCGCTAGTGACGATTATTTATTTCCATAATTAATGTACTATTTCGTCAATGAAACCTTTGATTGCTTTTTTTTTTTAATGTAGACATTGAATTATTGTGCACGCTTCCTGTCAATCTCACCGATTACTGATATCTTGATTTTTTTCTTTTTTTTTTTTTTTTTTTTT